GAAATAAATATAAACAGATTCATTTCACTCTTCAATTGTATTTTGACGAGATTTTCAAACCATACGAGTTGTTTCTTGTATTTCAAGTGACATATATGACAAGAACCAATTAATTACCTTCATTCATTCTTGTTAAGCTAATATTCAATGATTGTCTCAATATGATAATTAATCAAAAGATCTGTTCTATCTAAAATTCTTTTGAAGACTGGAAATTAATTCAAATATTGGATAATGTGCATGTAGATAATCAACAGTGTGCACTATCGATGATTCTCTTGATAACTTTAAGATCAAAAAAGCATAATGTTTATAGATAAAAGTGTATTATATAATGTAAGAAAATTATATTTCAAAAACATGATGTTATTCAATGGACAAGGTTATAAAACATATTCATCAATGGATTGTTTTAAAAAATTTAAAAACAACACGTAGTTATTAGTCCTGTTTTGTTTTCGACATAGAAAAAGAAATAAATGGCTGATACAGGCTGTTGATAATTCACAATAAGCTTGACCAAATAGTTTTGTATTGATAACGTTATTCAAAAGATATATAGACATGTATATATAATGAAAGTCAAACGTTCAAATAGACATAACAGGTGTAACTGTCTAAGTGAAGATAGTGATTAAATACAAAGAACGACCGCTAGATCACTTATTACTAAAACCTGATTACTTGTTGTTTGTGATTCTGATTGGTCTGACAAAGAATATGAATATCCAAAACTTTTAGGTTTATGAAAGATTTGTTTTAGGCCAACAAATTCAAATGGATTAAACTTAATAATTATATATTATGTTTTGAAAAAATATTGTATTATAATAAATATATAAGAACAATGGATGTGGCTGTGGTAGTTTGCAAAAGAGGAGATCTTCTACAAAACTCACACTCTGCTCTTTCTGACCAGCTGTGGAATCAATCGTGAGGCAAACATATATATGCTTAGAAGGAACTCTATAGTAAAATATCCGAACAACGTCCATTGACATTGGTCAAATCGCGAGATCATTTTCTAAGAGAACTATGGTTTGGAAATTTTTTGTACGATGTCTTGTTCATTTCAACTCTATAAGACATCGCAGATCTGCTAGTTACTATGGTACAGGTTCTGTCTTGTACTGTGAAGAATAAAGATGCCTTAAATCTCAATATTGTCAAAGAAAATTTGAATTTGAATAATTAACAGCATGAAACATAATTTAGAGAAAGTTTCCTCGTAAATGCAGTCTTTGAAAGGGATAATTGCTTATCAATTATTAGGTAACTGAAGCTAGTCTTATTCAGCGAACCCATTAAGAAGTATTGGCACATCTTTATATAACAATTGTAGAGCACTCAATGCGAAGGTTGTTCAGATTAGCAAGAAGACTCTTCTCCTATATTGGTTTTTCTCTATTGATTAAGCTCACTAATATCTGTCGACGCTAATATTTCCCGCTCAATAGGTTTCAATGGAATGGAATTCTACCAAAAACATGCTATCTCAGACACTGTCGGAAAAATATTGTCATGTCTGAATGTGCGAAAAATAGTCAGAGATTCTGATAGTAAAAATTTTTTATGTTGAAACGATGCTTTAACTTTCGGATTGATATTTTGATTGTTACAGATACGTTCAAGATCCATCGTCGCAATGTTCTCATATTCTCGATCGATCTCCACTTACTGAACGAACATTCTATATTCTTGTAGATTCATCGCCATTGTATACATTTTGAACCGTTACTCATTGGAAAAGTTCTATTTAGTAATCATGGAAATTGTCATAGGAATGTCGTCGACGGAATCAACATCAACAACAAACCCATCAGAATAGATACTTTTTCTCGTATTTCAATCAGAAAAATATTCAATACGTTAATGAAAGGTCGAGGTTTTTACGGGCTACAAAAAAGCATTTTTACTTTGGAGACATGGAGGACCTTTGCCTCTTTCGAGTGTGAGAAAGAAAGAAAACGGAAGAATTAGTTTGAAAAAGTAGTACTTTCGTGTCTAGCACTGTTTCCAGGAGGATTTTTTAGCGCAGCTTTTGTGTAATAAAACTTCTTATAAAGTTTTTCAGAGAGTTACACGATGAGTCTTCAGTAAAACGCTCAAGTCTGAGTAATGAAAATCGAAGAACATATTACTAAAATATTGAGAGTGACATATTTTCTGGATCACTCATTAGGAGATGATCGGTGCTCTCAGCTTAGCGTTTTATTTCTGTTCATTGTGTCAAGTTCAGTCCCGTTTTACAAAAGCAACTAAAGGAACAACAATTCATATTCTGAGTTATGTGCTATACAAGGGTGTTGGTGTGTGTATAAGGTAGGATGTCCGTGAGAAAGCGGGTGGCAGTGGTGTGCGAGTGTCGGTTTTTAGGAACATGAGTTTGGATTGGTTTCAGTGCGGCTGTGATCGTGTGTATTGGAAGTGAGATGGATGTCGATATTTTATTATATCGCACTTACAACTATTCCAACATTAACACAATCAGCGACATTCTCTATGTCTGAAAGACTGGGCAGGATCAAAAAAATACTAATGTTATGAAAACTGAGAATAGAACTAAGAATTCATGTGCTGCAGTCAGTAAAGCCCTTTTCCAGTCACACTATCTCACTGGCAGTGCGCCTAAATATCATAGCCTATAAATCCAAGAGTAACTCGCCTGGTCTTAAGCTATACTATGACTCTCTGAGGCGTGCATCAATATGGGTGGGTTTGGGTCTCTTTTTCAACGACACCCACACTTCCACGCCTACACTCATCCATTGAAATTACTTTAGCTCAGACATTTACATAAGTTGTCATGTTGTAGATACATAACTTATCTGTCTGTTTCATTAGACTCTCATTTCTAATTATTGGTTAATTAGAGTGAACGGTGAGCGTGTGAGGTAGTGAGCATGTGCATGTCGTTGAAGAAAAGATTCACACTCCATCCATTAATCTGCCAATTTTTTGGAAATGCCATTCAAGGCATTCGGATCTGCCATTTCAATTGAGACTACTCACAAGGTAATTGATTGCACTGTTTCGATCAATTTACCTTATCCACATGATGATGCTTTCTAGAAATGGCATATAATATCAAACCAAAAATATCGGATGGTAAGGCATTTTTCATTACCATGAAAAGATAGCTCATGGTCGACAATATCTTTTGTAAAAGAGATTTCTATTATAACCATTGTCGTTCTTTAGAAAATGAAAATTTAGTGAAAAGAATTTCACTACGAAGTACTTCAAATATAGTAGAGTAGCTATATTTGCAACGTCTATATCTCCAGAATGATTCATCTACTTGGGCTAAAATTTACAGTTTATTCCTAACTCACATGTATCTGCCTGATGTAAAAATATCAGCTAAGTCGGTGATGTCGATTGAGCAACATTGATTGAGGCTTCTATACAATCTCTCCTAGGACACGAATCAAATTTAAATGTAAATTCAATTGTTTATTTCAATTTCTAGTAGCATTTTACAATATCAAGTGATAAAACTGTTGTAGGGCCTACGAACGTGTGAAGCTCTATGAATTTTACAGTGTGGTAAAAATATATCAAATGCAGTAAAATATAGATCATTTTTCTAGGAACTGATTGCATATAGATTTGTATAAATTTTGGAGGTAAAATAAAATATCCACCCCTACATATTTCAGCATTACAAGCTAATCATACAGATCGGATGATATGTGGAAGTGGATTTGAAGTTCTTCGGACATACACCCTATCCGAGATACAGAATGTTATGGAGAACTTGGTTCGAATATGTAGACTAAATAAAGGGCTATAAAGATCTATGATACAGAGAAAAATTTCGATTTGTCTTATTTTGATTTTATGATTGAAAGAAAAGCTGCAATTTTAAGGCATTTCGTTTGTCCAATCTACATTGTTCTATGTTATCATTTAGTGATCATCATGAGACTACTTGATTCATGTTTCAAGAAGTGGTCTTCCACAATATTGGAAAGTAGCAAGCAGACACAATAGACTTCTTTCTTAATATGAACATAGAGCAACACAATATGAATTATTTCCATAGTAAGTAGTATTCTTTAAAAAAGAATTGGAACTATTTCTGACGGAAAGCACCTCCCCATGGGTGATTTCTTCGTCTATTGAGAATTCTGCTTCATATCATCTTAGTCCAACTCTCTCTTCTTCCGTCTCTCATACTATAGTAATCTTAAGTTCTCTTTTTCTCACCTCTCTTTCTTTGTGTAACTATAAATAATTGTGTTCGTGTACTGTTTCATTAATCAATAGATCTCTGGATTTCATTACCTGTTACACTACTAAAAAGCCGAATCGAATCTTGTCCAATATTTGTACTGAAAACTAGTCGAAACTTGGTATAAAGATAGCGCTAAATCATTCTGTGACCTTTTCAAATTAAGTAGCAGAGGTTGACAGCTGGTACAGATCAATATATAGTATTTCAAACCAAGACGTAAAATGTTATATCCTTGAGTATAGAAATTAGTCAATAGTTCTTTGATAAAGTACAATCTAACGAACTCGACGTCACGAACTGAACAATGAAAATTTTAGGCAAAAACTTATGGCTTTGGGACCAAAGCAATATTTTGTTTCTTCTAGTAGTCTCATTCATGTCAAGTGGAATTATATGATTGGAAAAAGAACATAACCGGGAAAAATTCAAAGTGACCGTCATGTCTCGACTTTTGCTCACTCACATCTCACGACTTCTTGATGTAAGTCAGATGGATGGATAGAGAAATGTTTTATTTATTTCGAAATGAACAATAAGCGCAAAGGGATGCAAGGAAACCGAGATTATGAAGTTCTACTGGAAAAAAATGAAAATAATCACTAGGCTTACAGCAAACCCTGCAAGTCCGTTTCACAGATCAAGTATTTTTTTATATCGAACATTCTCGAGTCCTACCGAATTTCAACGTCAAACATGACTAGATTTGTTTCCTCTATCCATAGCTGACTTGTGATTTTATTTGATTCATAAAAATATCTCAAGACTGGCTAGAGTTCGGATGAAACTCGTCTTTTTTTCTGCATGTTGACCAAATCTTATCAAATCTTGAAATATTTTTATGAATGGATTACAATCATAAGCCAGCTGCGGATATAACAAGCAAACCACATTATGTTTGATATTGGAATTCAGTACGACTTGACCACGTTTGATCCAAAAACTATCTGAACTTTGAAACAAACTCTCAAGATTTGATGTATGTCTAATATCGAAGGAATTTCGACTCTCTACCTTTATCCACAAGCTTATCAATTTCTTCCACTATCTTATGTACTCATCTTACTCTTCAAGAACATTAACTCAATACATAGTTTGACCAATCAACATGTAACCTATCCTGAAATTTTCACGGGCATGGAAAAATAAAATACGAATAGGGTATTTTCGTGAAAACGGAGTTCTTTGCTAAGTTTACTCATGTTTTTCAACTTTAATAAATTTACGACAATCACATCGTTCTGTTTCTTTAGTGAAGATCAGAAAGAAAAAGATTTGAAAGAGTCAGAATAGACCGAAATTTATTCGGAATGAAAAACTGCTCGAATTCGAACCGTTCGAATTTTATGCATGGCTACCATTTAACTCCACGAACAATTATCAATTTGGCTAGGCTTCTCGTGCACAAGTAAAGCGGATCCATTATATTTCACATTTTAATTTCGCAGAGATGACATTGAGAACTTTCTTTAGTCGATGATGACCACCAAAACAAGATGATTCAAACCAGTTCCTCATTATTGCACGAGTGCTATAACCAAGCTAATTATTTGTTTAATTGATGATGATTCGAAAAAAGCTATCGATAGATGGCTTAAGATCAACTGATCTTGTATGACTCTCAATCGCTACTATATAACTGAAACATGCACTTAAATAAACGCTTAATCAACCTTAGTCTATAGCATTTTATTTTTCTATGCGATTACTTTTGATATGCCTTAACTATATAAAGCTATTTCCAATTTTTGTCAGAAGATTTATGAAAATTTTTTTTCGATGAATCCATAGATTTTTTTATGGCGAAGGAAAAACAAATTCACAGCGCAGACGACTAAGGAGAGAAGAAGCAATACTGTACTACTTGAAGGGAACACTTGTTGTATATCTTGGTGTAAGATATTCGAAAGAGTCTGTTTTTTTCCCGAAGTAACAGCGATATCTTTCTCTGGTCATTTTCATTTTTCCAACTGTATTTCTTTTGAACAATAGATAATAGGAGTGAAATTTTGAAGCATATTATCGTAATGATTTGATGTAAAACATAATGTGATGTGTTTATCTTTTTCTTTACTGTAAGATAACTATTGAATGTAAAATATATAATAATATGTTCTCATATATCAAAGGCAAGCTTTTGCTAATTGTCAATCATTCTATCACAACTACTGGAAGTTCTTGCCATATAAAAGACAGATTTTAAGCTACTTTAATGGTTTTTTAAAGTTTTCTCCTGACGATACAAAGTATTCTCGATCACGGTGTATTTCCTCGGTATGATGTATCTCGATTCCATCAGCATCAAATAAACGTCTGGCCGATATAGGCATTTGTAGTCTCTCTGTCGCAGATGTGAATATCTAAAGTATAGAAAAAATTTCAAAAAGAATGCAAAGAAGTTAGTAGACCACTATCTTACAATTTCCATTGAGCACGATTTACAATAAGCAAATCGACCACGGTCACCATTGCGATAGACTTTAATACGAAAATTAGTCGTAGGAGTAGGACGGAAGTAGATTGGATCACTAGACAAATCGCAAAATAATAAGAAAAATTAAATTTGTTCAGCAAAAAAAAACAGGATGTCCCTAACTAGATATACATTAAACTAAAGGAATCGTGTTATTTTTTTGTTTTTTTAATTCTCAAAACCTTGAAGGCGATTTCTTGATAATTTCATCGGTTTTCAGTTACTGAGATTTGGCGCATTTGTGCAAGTTTATAAAATTACCAAATCAATAAATGGTTTGCGTGCAGATACACTCATCCAATAAACTTTCTAAACTCACGAAAAGAAACCAAAGTGTTTCGATATTAAGTCATATCTGAAAACATTTTTGATCTTTTGGAAAATTAGTCATCATCTCTTAATTATAAACATTAAAAAATCTTCACTTACGAGGATCTTGTTGTCGGCAAAATATTTTGTCCAGTTTGAGTCGCCTTACTCTGATTGTTCCATGCTGTTTGTGTGTTTTTACTCGTATGTTCTATCGGTGAATCATCAAGCATTGATGTCCATCTATTTCGATTGATAGTTTCTGTTTTCTCATGGGTCTGTGTGTATATCGACTTCATATTTGGTTGTAGTTTTATTACTTCATCTGTTTGTGTACCTGCCACTTTCATATATGTTGATGGTTTTGTCACTTCATCGGTTTGTGTGTCTGCAGCTTTCGTGTTTGGTGATGGCTTTGTCACTTCATCAGTTTGTGTATTTGCGACTTCCATCTTTGGTTGTAATTTTATTATTTCATCTGTTTGTGTATCTACAGCATTCTTGTTTGGTGGCGGCTTTGTCACTTCATCAGTTTGTGTATTTGCGACTTTCATCTTTGGTTGTAGTTTTATTATTTCGTCTGTTTGTTTATCTACAGCATTCTTGTTTGGTGGCGGCTTTGTCACTTCATCAGTTTGTGTATTTGCAACTTTCATCTTCGGTTGTGGTTTTATTACTTCATCTGTTTGTGTATGTGCAGCTTTCAGCTTTGGCTGTGGCCAAACTTCGTCGTCTGTCTGTATGCTTTTATGTTTAAGATGTCTTGGCAGATTTGGCACGATTGGAGGCGGATCGCTAGTTGTGCTTGAATCCTCACTGAATGGAGAACCTGGAATATATTAACAACAGAAACATATGTTTCAATGGTTACACTATCTGAATTTTTGCAGCCATCAATTTCACCAGATTTCTCGTAGAAAATGGTCTTGGGGTTTGCGCTTTAGGATATTTAGGCGACTGATTATTTCACGATTGGAATTCGATCCAGTTAAGTTTTTCGTTAACAATTCTCAACTTTACGGTAGATAGGAACCGTTTAGAATGCAAAGTATTTTCTAAAAGACGATACGCGAGAATATCATCCTTCGGAGAGTCATACAAGTTAAATTCATTTGTTGGAAGAACGCACAAATTTCTGCCTATGCACTGCTGTAGAATTCAAATCGATATTCTATTTGCTCGATGATTGGGACGTGCAGCTTTTATCATATTACATGCAACATGGCAGAAAGCTCTTCGTAAAATATGGATCAAAATCGAGGATAGAGTCCTATAAGAATATGGCATTTCATATCTTACTCTTCTTAATGCTCATGAGCATATTGTGGTCTTAATCTATGCAGAGCAGCGTCTAACCAAACGGTATCTATACCTTTACGCTACCGAATCATACGGACGATAACTATTTGAGGATGAAAAATAGTGGAAGGTGAAGGTAAAAATCAATGTGTATGTATATGAGAGTGATTGTGACCGTGGATACGGGGTGATGGCCTTCTCTTTACATACAATCACAACAACGTCCACATAACCATTCTCGAATGGGTAGGACCTTTGTGTTGCCGTATTATGTTGCGGTAATGTCGTGTCTGAGGTTATTGCTATAGGGTCAGTATGCAATATGGTATAAAAGCAAGTTGAGAATATGGAAAATAAATAGCAATAGTGGAAAACGAGTGTAAATACGCATCCATGTATAAGCTATTCACAGAATAAATTCGTTTTAATACGAGAAGCGCTGGATTTGAGTAAATTATGGGCCTGTAAGTGAACCTGAGCATACGATAACGTTTATAATAGTCTAGAATAGTTTTGGATGAGACCATGTACATTTCACTAAAATATCAACTGGTTGGTTCCCGAGTCAATATTATCTCTTTGTCGATTGATACCTGTGCCTTATCATGGATGTCACAAATAGAGCACAGGAGATTATTTTCATGTTATATTCTATTAAGATTAGAATCACTTTTTGGAGTGTGAGTGGGCATTGGTCGACAAGAATAATTACCAGTGGGGACATTTCGGTAGCGATGCTCGCTACCTCCTACTAGTGTCTACAGATGCCCATCATTCCTCAGTCGTGTTCATGCATTTCTAAGAGTTGCTCAGATCCAGTCACGCTAAATCTTGCCTACTCATAGTAGTTCATGTCTAGTCACGCTGACACCCTTGCCTGTAAAAACATATTTTGCGTGGCTTGTTGCCTACAACGAAAAGTCCTTGCAACGGATTCACCAGTCACTACAAACTTTATTCAATATAGACTGACTTTGTTTAGATAAAAAATTTGTGCATCGATGAATGCAAACTTTGATAGAAATTGAAATAGAGCAGGTTCCAAGCTAACAACAGAACTAGGAGTACCTATGATAATATCATAAAACTCTTGATCTGGTTAAGCTATTTTACCGACACAATGTTTCACTCCATTTCGTACTCCAAATTTCCCAGAACACGTCGCGACTCCGTACCATTGCTACATATATTTCTTTGAGTGTCCATTCTTCTTATCTTCCCGTAGATCCCATCAACAAATTAGTTTCGTGATAGACTCAGGAATACGTTTTATTTTAAATAGAGCTTTTTCTGATTTTTTCTCCTTTGTTTCAGATCGATCTAATCAAGAAATCCGTGCCGAAGGTAACATCCAGAGCAATCTAGATTAGTATGAGTACGTACTTATGCTCAAAGGGTTTGTACTCAAGATTTTAGACAAAAGAGATCATTTCCTATGATAATGTAATGCTAGATTTATTCATGTACAAAAACGGTCAATTAATAAATTCGATACTACTATTGTATCTATTTCGCCACACTTTATCGTCGCTTACCATGGCTGATACTAATCAACATGCGTTCCTTCTACGTTGTTCGAGTTTCCACACTCAATGCAGTAATTTCTTAAACCAAGCGTGACACTGATGTTAACTGGCTCCGCATTTTGTCTAAGACATTTTTGAGCAAGTTTTTTTCGATGACTTCGAAGCTTAAATTTTGCTATATGTTCTTGTTGAATCACCTACACTAAAATTTACATCTTCTCACTTATTCATCAGTGCACGTATTTATCTAGAAATTTAGACTTTTTTCGAGCGTTAATAAAAGAAGCTGATTAGCTGTTCTCGCCATTAGTACCGGAGTCACAGCAGTAAGTGACCTGATCAAATTGAATGGATATGTGATGGACAACTACTTCCTCTACGATATACTGAATAATATAAACTTACTTTTGAGTGACATGTTCTTCAAGTATCCGAGAACAATACTGATAGTACTCGTACTCGACAAACTCCGTATTTACCCAATTCTGATCCAGAGTGAGCCTTTTTTCGATTCTTCACGTTGTATACTCTTTTCTCATTATTTCAGATACCAGCAATGCACGATCTCGTCTTGGCCACACTGTCGAAGGCGAATCTATTCTAATCTGTAACGATGAGTGAGAATCTTCTTTTTGTCTTAACCTACCCACCGACTCTCAAACGGATGTTGATACGAACAATACGATAAGAAACTACAATGAACATTTTGATTATGTCAAAGTAGATAGAAAAAAAGATATTGTGGCAACACAATAATCAATACTCCAACAAAGGCCTTGGCAACAGATCTGCTGTCACAAGGTCACTCTTCTCGCCTGTTAAGTGCTCTACCGCATGTCATCGTATTTTGTCTCTCTCTTCTTCTCTACTTCTCTTGTATAGCTCTGATTGATCGTTCTCTTGTTCTCTCTCCACTGCTATATATACGCGTATTCGTGTTATGTTTCATCAGTCATTAGATTCATGATTCTGGTTGCTCGTCACAGCCTTGCTTTCTCGAGATGGCGTGACCGAGACCGAAAAAGCCTCACTATGATTATCTCTAGCAGATACATTGACATAACTTTGTTGTAGAGTTTGTTGAACATCTGTTTGGACTTACGATTTCGTGAAATTCTTCCATAAAGAAATTTGATACCATAGAGTGTCCATATTAAATGTGTACGCTGTTGTATGTGGACTATTTGAAGAAGCAAAAAAAAGAAAAAGTTGTTAGATTCATAGAAAACGTTGTCGAATTCTCAAAGCAGCTGCTGGGGCTATGCATCTCGAATAAAACACAATGTCTACAATTCACTATCAGAAGGATGGAATCGTTAATGTTTCCATAGTTCTGGAAGCAACTGCTGAGTTGTAGATAATAAATGGTTGACGTCTTACGTTTCAAAGAAAGATGAATATCAAGGTTTTGTTGCTCTGCTATTTTTTGGCTGGGAAAAAAAGAATAACCGTCAAAGTTCTTTAATGGAATGAGTATAAACTAGTTGTGAGAATCTAGTATCCATGATTACATACGTTTAATGGCTTTCGATGGATTGATGTAATTTTCTCCACATGACACATAGTAGTCCCTGTTACGCTTAATATCTTCACTTTGGAAAATTTCATGTCCATTATCGTCAAATAGACGCCTTGCAGGTCTAACAAGTTGTAATTTACGTGTGGCCTCTACAAGTATCTAAAGCAGAACAAAGAAAAGTAAGCATTTAGGCATCAGAGCAGTAATGGTCGTAGTATGTCATCATGTCATATATGTCTTACAATGTTCATAGTGCATGAAGCACAGTAGGCACATCGACTGGAATCACCATTTCGAAACACTCGAACCAGAAAATTCTTCGGTTGAACACTATTCCTATTAAAAAAAAGACACTTACAAACTACTCGATAGACAAGTCAAAAACGATGTTGACGATGGATAGATATGTAGGTAGAAAAAGAGAGGACCTATCCTGACACTTTTATGAATATCCTAAGTTTCTCGACAAAACAGTAGCGATATGTCTATGTGGGAACTATTGGCTATGAGATGAGTGCTCCTTTCTTGATGTTTCGCTATCGATTTTGCATATACTAAAAATATAGCATCTTCAACGCTAAAGCTAATTTACAAATTTTAAACAGATATAGTTGAGAAGGCAGGCGTATAAGAAGCTCATTATCTCGAACACTACTTTCTAAAGTTTAATTTTATGGACACATACCTTCGTATTCCCGGTGCAGTAAATGGTCGATCTACTGGTAATGATTGATATGCATCAATCATCGTTACATTTTTGCTTTTATTTTTTGAACTATGAGAGCGTAGATGATGGCGAAGCTTCTTTCTCTTAGTCACTGCCGATGTTGATAGTTCTGTATCGCCAGTGATGATTTTTTCACGATGAACCTGCATTGTAATTAACTGATGATGAGATCCTTCAATATATTCATCTTCAGAAGCGTCGTCGTAATTCGCACTATCAAAGGTACCATGCCTCCTATAAATAAAACAGCAATGCTTGTTGAAACTCTATCAATACACTCCCAATTCTGTCACGAAATCAGTCAAACTGCGTAGTATGAATGATAAAGATTTCGTCTTAATGTCATACTTCAATTTGATAATTACCGATTTGATTCTGTTTTGATGAGACCCATCTTCAGAGAGTTGAAGTCTCAAAAATGATCCAAGTAATGGAATGGGAAGTTATTTTTCTAAAATTAGAGCCAATAAAACAATGTTGTTAATCGAAATTCAATTGAGCAAATTAATTAGTTTCCTATCTTTTTCTTGAGCATAACGAATCAAGGGATAAAAGTTCATGAGGAGAACCCAATTTCAACAACTT